TTTTAGCAAGTTTCCTGCAGAATCTGCGACGGAAAAGGATAAACTGTGGGCATTCATAAAAACTAAGATGAATGCTAGGTGTCGCGCTATTAAGTACGCAAATACCATGCGAGCACAGTAACAAACCAGTGAAACCACCTGTTGTAAGCATTTTAGTTCTTAGAGTACTTCCAGTAGTTCTTGTTTTTCTCAGTTTAGGGGCAATGTTTGTAAGTCAATAAGAATGTATTTTAATAAAATTAGTAGATCATTTATGAAACTTGAAGGACTTCACTCGTAGTTATAATTTATTGATAAAGTGCTATGACCTGCGAGGTGGGATGCCAAATAATGAATAACCTTCTTCCGTTCCCTTTAATCGCTATTTGCAATCATTAAAATAATTAAGTGGTCTTTGTCGTTCGAACTGAAGTAGAATAATATTATTTGGTTTCAATTCACAAAGTGCGGGTTCAAAAATTTGCATAAAGTTGTTTACATTTTCCAAGATGTGAGAAACGCCATATTCTGGTGGAAAGGTTGATGAATATTTTGATAGACTTTTGTCTAACTCTGAATCAGACGAAACTAATTTTAAACTACATGCATGTTACGAAAACAACTTTATCTGGTGAAACCAGCGCCAACACGTCGTCGTCGCTTCGAGACTGACTTCGTGACTTCAAAAGGCAGCGCTTTTCGCATGCTCGGTCAAGATAGAAAGCGTAATCTTTCGAGAATCCATGGCTGGCCCGGGGTAAAACAGTTACTTTAGAAAAACTCTTGACAGAGTCATGGTGTAAAAATAAGTACAAGCAACAAATCCATTTGAGTAAAACAATAAAAAATGTTCACCACGACTGGCCATTAAAATTGTTTACACACAGGTTTAGCGACGTTAGGTTTGCTTCTCACACGATAATAAAGGACTCGAATTCTGTCGAGTTTCGCCATCTCGATGAGAAAGTGAAAGTTTATATCCCTGAGTTTTGCTCTCAATTAATGCTCACCGTGGAAATAATTTTTTTAATGCTTGTCTCATCGACGACTGATGAAATCGGCACTTTGTGACTCGTTTTTTTTTAAATCGTGAGTGTAAGACTAGTAATGGTTTTGCACAATCATGTGTTTATAACATTGGACTGAAAGTAACTGTTACGCTATTCGTTTGTTAAAAGTCCTTAGATGTAAACCGTTAGACAAACGTTAAAAGTCCCTAGATGTAGAGCGTTAGACAACCGTTAAACGGCTCCAGTCATCCGTTAGAACAAACTGCGTAACTGTTAGAACGTTTTCTTCATCCGTTAGACATACTTAGTTAGCCGTTAGACCGTTAGAAGAAAGCGTTAGAAGGTTTTGATCATCCGTTAGGCACAACTAGACAACCGTTAGAACGTTAGGACAAAACGTTAGAATGCTGTGAAGGCCGTTAACAATCCGTTAGCTATCTGTCCGTTAGAGAGCCTTTAACGGATAAGCGTTAAGGCACGTTTTCCCGTGCACGGTCACATTTCTCCTGAGCCTACGATCGAGTACTTGTACTCCTTGTCCTCAAGTTCTGGGCAAAATAAAATCACATGGTGTTTTGAGGTATAGAGGAGGAAAAGGTGGAAAGAAGACCCGAGGAAATTATTTAAATATATTTTCTAGAACAACTCAACGTGATTATGCTAATTTTGGTTACCTCCAAGCGCCATTGCCACTTCGTGGTGTGAACTTTAATAATTTAATATCAGTAACTACAACAGATTCTCCAAAAATTGACCGTTGCTGTGTTCAGTTTTGTGTTCTTAACGTTAGATCCATTAAGAACAAGGCAATGGCAGTTGAAGACCTTGTGGTTGATCAAGACATTGATATTTTGGCTCTCACTGAGACTTGGCTGCATCCTGGTAACATTGATGATGTTGAGATTAGAACCCTATGTCCAACTGGCTATAGATTTTTACATGTTCCGAGGGGTCATTCCCGAGGTGGAGGTGTTGGTTTGTTATTTAAGGACACTCTCCAAATAAACAGTCACATCACCGATACCTTTACGACATTTGAACTCATGGATATTCACTTTAGAAGTCTTCAGTCCATTAGAGTTCTGCTTATTTACCGCCCTCCTGATAACACCTCATGCGTGCTATGCTATTTCTTGAAGAATTCTCAGTGCTTCTAGAACAAATTATGGCTGAATCCACTGGTCACTTACTAATACCTGGTGACTTCAATTTACATGTTGATGACCCCTGTAGCATCTGTGCAAACCGCTTTACTGAAATTCTTGAATCTTGCAACCTCAAACAGCACGTCACAGGAGCAACTCACGCTAACAGACACACTTTGGATCTTGTAATTTCTAAAAAAGATAATCCTCTCATTACTGAAATCAAGATTTTCGACCCTGTAATGTCGGATCACTGTGCAGTTCATTGTAACCTGCGTGTACAAGAACCGCACTTCACGAAGAAAAAGGTGTACTATCGGAAACTGCGTTCTTTGGATATTGAATCCATTTGTGAAGATATCTTGACTTCTCCTTTGCTACAGGATCAAGCTGTTGAAATCAATGGTCTTGTGGATCAATATGACAATATATTGTGATCCCTCTTGGATCTCTATGCCCCTTTAAAATGGCAAACAGTAACATTACGACCTAGTGCTCCCTGGTATAAACCGGAAGTGGTTGTACAGAAAAACATCCCAAGGCGGTTAGAGTGGAAGTGGCATTCGACTAGGTTACTATGTGATCATGAGCAATACGTTCATCAGTGCTTCGTTGTCAACAATTTGATAGAGTCACTAAAGTCGACAAATTACACTGACATCATTAATGATCATTCATCAGATAAGAGGATATTGTTCAAGACTGTTGGAAAGTTATTGCAAAAATCAACCAACAAGAGTTATCCTCCTTCCTCTAATGATAATGCCCTGGCAAATTCATTTGCCGATTTCTTCACCAGCAAGATTGATAAAATACATCATGGGCATATTGAAAGGAAAATACGTGTTGGGTCTTCACGTCCTGACGTCAAAGTTTGTGGTGCAGAGTTTTGTAACTTTGCTGAGGTTACCCTGGAGGAAATAAAAAAGTTTTCAAGGAAACCACTATCTAAATCTTGTGAACTTGATCCTCTACCCGCGGTAGTTTTGAAAGGCTGTCTTACTGTATTACTTCCTACTATTATGAGGATCATCAATCTGTCCTAAATCGACTGGTAATGTGCCTGATGCTCTGAAGGTTGCTATACTATCGCCCACACTGAAAAAATCTGATGCTGACTTTACAGTCATTGACCTAAACAAACTGCGTGCGCAACATCAGGTATGACTCAAACCATGCAGCTGCAGTATCGTTTACTCCGAAGCAGTGATCATGTGACACTTTGAACGGAGTAGTTTTTCGATTTAGAGAATTGTAATTTTGTTGAAGGCACGTGTATCAGTTTAGAAGCCCGTTACTTTGTGGAACCCTATTGTTTTTGGCAAGTGTATCGGAATAGAAGCCCGTTGCTGTAAGAGATCTATTGGTTTCGAATAAAATCTATCACATTTGGTCCCAACAGCCGGATTTGGAACTAGCTGAATTATGCCTGGGAAAGTAGCGAAGAACCTCAAAATACGTGCGGCACATCGCTTACACACAAGGAAAGTTCTTGCATCAGTCGATGAACTTCCCATGGATTACGAGGGGTGTGATACCACTAAAGACAAGATAAAACGGATAACTATTACGCTCAATGAAAAATTAGCAACCTTAAAGGCCTTGGACAAATCGATTTTGGCCACAATCGATGAAGGAAATTTAGAACCGGAGATAGAGGAATCTGAAGGTTTCACGCGCGAATTCATGGCGCCCTTGTCAAGTTGCACAAATGTAAAAATTCTTATGGGAAACAAGAATCGCCTCAAGGAAGTCCAGGTGGGTCTGTTCCATCTAGTTCTAGTAACGGTGCGAAGCTACCAACACTACACATAAAAAGATTTGCTGGCGACCCAAAAAACTGGCAGACATTTTGGGATTTGTTCTCGTCTGCGGTGCACAAGAACGCTTTGCTAACTAATGTTGACAAGTTTAATTATTTGCGAACTCTATTAGATGGCCCAGCTCTAAATTCTATCATTGGATTACCATTAACTGAACTGAACTATAAGGAGGCTATTGAAATCTTAACCGATAGATTTGGAAACAAGCAGATAATTATTAGCTCTCACATGGAGGCCTTACTCAAATTACAGCCTGTGAATGCCATGTCTAACGTTAAGGGAATCCGAGCTGTTCTCGATAATTTGGAAATTCAGGTTAGAGGTTTACAAGCACTGGGAATTGATTCTGCACAGTATGGAGCTCTTTTGATTCCTATATTCATGGAGAAGTTGCCCAAAGAATTGCGCTTGATTGTCAGTCGGGAACATAAGGATAACTGGGAGCTAACTTCTGTAATAAAATCTGTCAAAAATGAAGTGGAGGCCCGTGAAAGGTGTGGTATGAATACATCTGTGGAGAAAAAATCCCCATTAAAGGAATCGTTTAACCCTGGCAATGAATCAACTGCAAGTGCATTGTTGAGCGGAAATTGTGGGGAGTTAAACTGTTTGTTTTGCTAAGGAAATCACCGAGCGTCTGAGTGCCAAGTTGTAACAAATATTGATGAAAGAAGAGAAATTTTGAAGAAACAAGGGAGGTGTTTCAATTGCCTGCACCATGGGGGGCACCTAGCCCGTAACTGTGACACAAAAATTCAGTGCTTCAAGTGTAGTGGTCGTCACCATTTGGCAGTTTGTAATAGTAGTATGGCAGACAGCAGTAATATTCCTTCTAGGGCAACAGCCTCACCTGCATTGCATATCAGTTCTGGGATGCATGTTTTCTCACAAACTGCTCAAGCAAATGTCTCAATCCCGGGGAAGGAACTCTCTCATAGTCTCACTGTACGTGCAATTTTTGATACTGGAGCCCAGCGATCGTATATCAACCAAAAAGTAGTAAATGCCTTGAAACTGAATACTGTCAGGACAGAGAGACTGAAAATTGCAACATTTGGGGATCAGGGGATCAGAACCAAGAGCTGGAAGCTGTCAACCTGGTCGAACTTTCTTTCACCAAATCAGGAACAGACTTTAAAACAACATTGAATGCATTTGCAGTCCCTCACATTTGTAATGATTTACAAGGTCAAGATTTGGAATGGGTTAAAAAAAGGTATCCCAGCTTAAAAAACATTGAATTTGCTGATGTGTGCCCTGCAAGCAATACAATGCAGATTGATTTGTTGATTGGTTCAGATTATATCTGGGATTTCTTTGATGGCAAGTCAGTAAGGGGGGAGGAGTCAGGTCAGGGTGGACCTGTGGCTGTTTCTGCAGAGGTTGGATGGGTGTTGTCGGGTCCGGTGGAAAATCTCCCGAGGGAGAAACTTTTAAGTATTCAGTTTTCGTCGACTCACGTGTTGAGGACGGAGTCAAGGGTTGTTGATGATACGCTGCAAGGGAATTTGGATAGATTGTGGGATCTGGATTCTGTCGGCATTCGAGATAAGGATACTGTTCCTGAAGCCTTTGAAAAGAATTTGAGTTTTGAAGATGGCAAGTATTTGGTCCATCTACCTTGGAAGGAGCAACATGGGCTGTTGCCAGATAATTTTGAGAACTGTGTAGCAAGATTGAGCTCGCAGCTTAAACGTCTTAGAGAGGATCCAGAGATCTTGAAAGAATATGACTCCATCATACAAGATCAGTTGCAGAGTGGTATAATTGAGCAAGTAGACTGTGCCAAGCGTCCTGATGTTGGAAGGGTGCATTATTTACCGCATCATGGGGTGGTACGCCGGGATGCCCTTACAACCAAACTTCGTGTTGTTTTTCATGCTTCGTCAAGGCCCAGCAGTGATAGTCCAAGTCTTAATGAATGCCTTTACTCAGGACCAGCCTTAACTCCAACGATCTTCAATGTTATCCTCCAGTTTAGAGAGAAAAGAATTGCACTTGTAGGAGACATTAAAAAGGCCTTTCTCAATGTGGGAGTTGCTGAAGATCGTGATGTCCTGCGATTCCTCTGGGTGGACAGTTTAGAAGAAGAGAATTCCGGATTGATGTTATATCAGTTTTGTCGTGTGGTGTTTGGAGTCAATGCTAGCCCTTTTCTTTTGAATGCCACTTTGAAGTATCATATCAGTCAATATGAGGCTGACCCTGGTTTTGTTCAGAACTTGTTGAATTCATTTTATGTGGATGATTTAGTGACAGGAGAAAGGGGTGTTAAGCAGTGTCTGTCGCTTTATCAGAAGTCCAAGAAGTGCCTATTGGAAGGTGGGTTTAACTTGCGAAAGTGGATTTCAAATTCACCTAAATTGCTTGAATTGATTTGTGAGGACCAAGTTGGAACTGTCGGAACTTGTGCTGAGAGTCTTATGCGAAAACTACTGTCAATCATTTGGAGAAGCTTGATATGAAGGATGAACACAAGGTACTTGGTCTTAATTGGAAATGTGTTACTGATGAGTTCATTTTTAAATTTGAAGTCTTACTGAGACTTTCAGAAGACTTGGAGCCGACCAGGAAAAACTTGTTAAAGGTTACTTCAAGTTTCTTTGACCGCCTTGGAGTACTCAGTCCAATACTAGTGGAAATGAAGATTTTGTTTCAGTCTCTTTGCCAGGACAAGTTTGAATGGGATGCGCCACTCCCGGAGTCTGCCCAGAAGCAGTGGAACAGGTGGTTTCAGGACTTGAGAAAGGTGCAGCAAGTGTTAGTACCGAGGTGTTTGTTTGCTGGATTAGAGGAAGGTGTTACGTCTTATGTTATTCATGGGTTTGGGGACGCTTCAGAGAAGGCTTATTGTGCTGTTGTTTACTTGGTTCTTGAAGTGAGTGGAGATTTTTTTCCCGTTTTGTTGTCATCCAAAACCAGAGTGGCACCGCTGACAAGGCAGTCTATCCCTAGACTCGAATTACTGTCTGGGGTCATCTTAGCAAGATTGGTGTCCTCAGTTAAAGAAGCCTTAGCGTCACAGATTACAATTGATAAGACACACTTGTGGCTAGACAGCAAGACTGCAATCTGCTGGATAAAGGGTTCGAAGGAGTGGAAGCAGTTTGTGCAAAATCGTGTGAATGAAATCTTGTCTTTAACCGAAGAGAGCATGTGGAACCATTGTCCTGGCATTGAGAACCCAGCAGACATAGGATCTTGCGGAGAAGGCGCGGCTAAGTTAAAGAGTAATGTGTTGTGGTGGAGGGGACCATCGTGGCTGTCAGAGCCCATGAGAAACTGGCCCAGTTCTGAGGAATATTCCGAAACAATTGCTGAGGAGTGTTGCGAAGAGATGAAGAGATGAAGAAAGGCCAAGCTATCGAAGCAGTTGGTGAAGCAGTATTGTTAACTACAAATGGAATGCCCAATATGGACACTATTATTCCGATCACAGATTTTAGCTCCTGTGACAAGTTGTTTCGTATTACAACCTTGGTGTTGCGCTTTGTGAAAAATTTAAAAATCAAGGCCAAGTTGCTAAAGGAAGGAACTGTTTAC